TCACCAGTTGCCATCTCAGCTTGCTGCGCGGTGCACCTACTGTGTGCCAGGGAGTGTGCTGAGAACTGAGGATACAGATGTAGCCCAGCCCTTCTGGGCTTAGGGCAAACTTTCTGTAGGAGGCTGGAGGATAAGTAATTCAGGCTTTCTAGACCATATGGGCACAGCTACTCAAGTCTGCCTTGGTAGCCCCCAAGTGCTATGTGTAAAAGAAGATAATATGTAAATAAAGGGCGTGGCTGTGTTCCAGTAGAACTTCACTTACAAAAGCAAGTGGTGGCTGGAATTGACCTGTGGGCAGTAGTTTGCCAACTTCAGGTCTAGAAGGGCATTAAATAAACACATGTTAAAACTGCAATAATCAGAGCCTGCTATGTGCCAAGTGCTGTTCGGCATGCTTATACTGGGTTTGCCAAAAAGTCCGTTTGGTTTTCCCCATAAGATGGCTCTAGGAGTGCTTAGTTGTCTTTAGTGTCATTGGAAACTATTTTGTTAGACTGTATTGTGACAGCTGTCATATCAGCGTGCATTTTTTTAAAAACTTATCAAAATTGGTGAATTTTTGTGCAGCCATTTTAATTGAGATGGAATAAAATAAGCAACATTTTTGGCATATGATGCTTTATTATTTCAAGAAAGGTAAAACTGCAACTGCAATGCAAATAAAAGGTTTGTGCAGTGTATGGAGAAGGTGCTGTGACTATAGGTGTCAAAAATGGTTTGTGGAGTTTCTTGGCACTATTGACATTTTGGCCAAGTAATTCTTTGCTGTGGGGCTGTCTTATGCATTGGAAGGTGTTAAGCAGCACCCCTAGCCTCTGCCCACTAGGAGCCAATAGCGGGAGAGAGCCCACATACTCAAAATATCCAAATCAGTGACGTTATTTGTGAAAATTAAAAATGTGTCTTTTATTTTTCAGAAAAAACTAAATGGATGTTTTGGCCAACCCAATGGGTATCTCCAACCTTCTGAGGTAGTATTATCATGCACATTTTACAGGTGAGACAATCAAGGCCTAGAAATGTTTTAACTCAGCCAAGATCACACAAGTAGCAAGTCAGGTGAGCCAAGGTTTGACCCCTGCAACCTAGGGCCTATACGTGTAAGAACTTCACTGTACCAGCTCTTCAAAAAGTATCAAAGGTGAAGGGTAATTAAAATGTTAGAAAGAAAGAGAATGAGATGGCATGAAACAGGCAGGCCTGAGCTAGATGGGGTAATCAAAGAACAGCGGAGTCTGGAGCCTGGGAAGTGGTCATCCAGAAGAACAGCCATGGGGAAGAGAGAACATTCTGGGCTGTGTTAGGTTTCCATTGCTCCCATTCAAATCCTCAACAACCTTCACAGCTCAGGCAACAGGGGTGCATCCTTCTCGGTTCTGTAGGTCGGAATCCGGGGGTGGTCTGCTGGTTTCTCTGCTCCAGGTGTTAGTTACAAAGCCAAAAGCCAGGTGTCAGCTGACCAGACTTTATCTGAAGCCTCTGGGGGATAACCAGTCTCTGACCGCATTCAGGCTGCCGGCAGAACCTACTGGCTTGTGGTTGGAAGGCGGAGTCCCTGTCTCCTGGGGTTGTCAGCCAGGTACCACTGTTGCCGCTCCATCTTTAAACAAGAACCGCAAGTTGAGTCCTTCTCACACTTTGGATCTAACTTTTCCTGCATCCATCCTGCCCAAGCTGGAGAAGGTTTTCTGCTGTTATGAGCTCACATTGCTAAACTGGACCCATCTGGATGAACGACGCTACTCTTCCTATTATAAGGCCTGCAGCACTAATGGCACCTGCAAAGTCTCCTTTGCTGTGTAACCTAACAGGTGACAGGTTATGGGGATTGGCCATGGATATCTTTACAGGCCCCTGTAAACCCTGGAGCCTACCTCCCAGTCGCCTACCACACGTGGAGGTGGTGTTCAGATGACCAGAGCCAAGGAAATCGTCGACTTGCCTAGTAACTGCCAGAACTATTATTGCCAAGGGTGACAAGTCACATGGACACTTGAAGGGACCAGGCATTTTAATCTCAAACACAATGGAAAGTGGGTGGGCATTTAACTGAGGGCAGAGAGGACCCCTGGCTCCTCCAGTGGCTTTGACACCTCAGACGCACTCTAGTCACACTTCTCCCCGCAAACTCCAGTCACCTGTACCAGGGGGGCCAGGGGCTCGGCGTGGGACGAGGCGGCTGTGCAAGGAGAGGACTGTCCTTCTGGGACCTGGCTACGCCCCTCAAGCCCTGCAAGGGAACAGCGTCCTGGCGTGAAAGGAGCGTGGACTTGGGGACCAGAAAAGCTGGGTTCCGATGGACAACAGACCTTGCGGAGGCTTGGACAGGTCACTGTCCCTCCGTGAGCTTCCGCTTCCACATCAACAAAAATGGAGTGCAGTTGACAGAACAGGATGAGAAGGCGCTTCACCTCTGTGGTCGCCCTCCCCAAAACCCCCAGGCCCGTCGTGATGAAAACACCATTAATGTCCCTAATTGAGGGACATTCTACTGCTTAAAACTGTTCAGGTCATCAAAAACAAGGAAAGTCTGAGAAACTGTCACAGCCAAGAGGAGCCCAAGGGAATGTCCTGTTGTATCATGAGATCGTGGAACAGAAGAAGGACGGGAAGTAAAAAACTCCGGCAATCTGAATGAAGCCTAGACGGCGGTTAAAAATAATGTATCAATGTCAATCCATCTGCTGTGACAAATGGACCACGCTCAAGTAAGAGGTCCACAAAAGGAGACACTAGGCCTGAGTACAAAGGAATCCTCTGGACTGCCTTTGAAATTTTTCCATAAAATTAAAAATTTACCTTAAAAATGGAAGCACCCTCCTCCACAGAGAGGCTAGAAGGCTGGGAGAGACGTCACATGGGGAACAAGTGGCATACAGAAGGTACTCAGTAAATGTCAGTGTCTTCAAGAAGCCAGTAAGAAACATTCTAGAATGTCCCTGAAATTTCAGAGAAGAAATCCTCACTGAATGGGTGCTCAACCAGCCTTCCCACTTTATCCTCCTCTATCCCCACTCCTGTACCCCGTATTCTTCCACTCCTTCGCTACATTCGGTGTTGAACCAGCCTCAGACACCTGTACCCATTTTTCAGTCTGTTCCCATGAGCCTCCCACTACACCAAAGAATAATGATAGTTGCAAAAATAAAAATGAAACAAACACAGGGTTCCTTTTTTACCTGTTGAAAGCGCAGATTCCAGGGTGTGACTCTACAGGGCATCCCACAGCCCGGTGCCCGAACTGTCTCCGTCGTACTCAGTGACACCCGGGGAAGCATTCAGACACAGGACAGAGCCCCACAAACACTCCAGGCCAGGGAGATGCCAGACGAAGGCCACATAGGACCCACGAGCAAGGGCGAGCTTCACGTAGCTCACAGCCTGACCAGAGGCAAGTTGGGGCCGAGGAGGGCAGCTGGATGGGGCGCCGCCGTCCCAGGCCAGTGCTGGGCCTGCTAGGACATGCCAGCTGATGAGAAATGAAAGCTTTGTCTTCACGCAGAGCCACTGCCAGGCAGGGGAAGGAGAAAAGCCCCTCGCGCATTGAAACACCAAGGTGATATGAATGTCTGAGGACAGAAAGATGGCCCTGGGCCGTCAGCTCAAAGCACTGATTTGAGGCCGTGGGGTTTTCCATGGAGTGTGCAGACCGAAGTGAGCCCAGAGCCCCAGGAGAAGGGGAGAAATCCTTTGATGATTGTGTAAATGATTTCTTATGACAGCTTTGGAGAGTCATCTTGCCGGTAGAGATTCATTGCTTGCTTTTTATAAAAGCTTTTCCTCCCAATATACCTGGATCTTTCTTACTGCCTCTAAAAAGTGAAGTCTGCCTTTTCTCTTACTGGCTGAGGACTACAGTGTCCCCCTATCCCCCCAACTAAGGGCAAGTTCGGCCCCCCCACCCTGCTGAGACGGACTGGTGTTGCCCTGCTGGAATCTGGGTCAGTCGGAGGTGGACCAAACTCCAGCTCTGGCACCCGGGCACTGGGGACAAGGAGAGGAGAGGGAACAGGGGCAAAAGAGGAAGGGACAGGCCCCCGGTCAGAGGGCTCTGTGTGCAGTAAGAGAGCAGACAGTCTGGGACTCAGGACAGCTGGGGCTGCAGCCCTTTGCTTCAAACCATGTTGCATGCCCTCAGCCCCTGCCGCGAGGCGAACGGGCCGGCACAGTAATAAGACACTTCCAGAGGCAGCCTGTGGTGTTGCTCAGAACAGTCTGGCACTTCGGTGGCCGCCTCCCAGCAGAGAGGGCCCCAGACCGTGCACTCAGCACCCTGCAGCAAGAGCCTGCTATTAAAGGCACAGAGGCCTCAAACCACAGGAGGAACGATTGGTGTAAATACTTTAACTCTTTCAAGGTCTTTATTTTTAAACAAATGATGTAATAAAGTCAGAACACAAGCTGAAGATATCTGTAACTTATTTCACTGACAAGCATCAATATCACCCATCACATGGAAGAACGAAGGATTCTTTAGGGGGAAAAGGCAAGCCTGAATTGCCAAAAAAAAAAAAAAAAAAAAAAAGCCTATATGAAATGACCCACTGATGATGAGGGGTCAGCAAGGCATCCGGGAGGCATGGGGCGGGTACGAGCAGGCGCTGGCTGGGCCCCGGGAACAGCGATAATAGCAGGCCAAGTAGGAGAAGGGTCCTCACAAGTTTACGATCAACCTCGCAGATGGGGAGGGGACGGGCTGCCCTGCTGCCCTCCAGATGCACCTCAGAAATACAAGGAGGTTTTTCTCTCTTAAAAAAAAAAAAATTAAAAATCTGAAGCCTCCATGGTAAATTATAATACTAGAGAAAGTTATGTGGTAGGCACATGCATGCTGTTTTCTGTATGACCAAAATATTTCACCATTTTTATAAAGCTCATTTTTCTTGATTACATTTACATTTATTCTCAGCATGTCTAATACTGTGACAAGCAGACTTGAACCCTTGTCATTCTGGCTCTGAAGGGCGGGCAGACTGTTCAGACGGCTGCCTACAGCTCTACCTCTTGAATTCCACTTGTGTGTACACCTTGGTGATGTCATGGTACCTGCCTTGAGGGGGCTGGTAGTTGGAGATTGGAGGTGTATACGTTGGCCCTTCTCTCTCAAAGGGGAACAGACTGGGGTCCCGCTTGATGGCCTCCATATGGAGCTCCTGGGATGTGAGTTTCAGCTCCTGCAGAGCTTCCTGCTGGGCCTCAAGCATGGAGTTGATGGCTTCCCTCTCCATCTCATGCTCTCGCTGCTTGTACAAGGACCACTTCTTCAGAAGCAAAGCTCTCCGCTCATCCTCCTCAAAGGAGAGCTCGACCTGAGGCCGCTGTCTCACTTCATCCAGGAACTTCCCAGGCGTAGTAAAATCTTCAATGGGAATTAGCTCTTGGCTAGCCTTTTCTAGTCGTCGGATCCTCTTTTTCAAATGGTCTTTTACAGCTTGGTCTTTTTTAGGATCTACCTTCTTCTTCTTCCGCAGAGGTTCTGCTCTCATAGGAATGGAAAACAAGTGAAACGATAGCATTAGAAACAAGGATCGAGTCAAAGGAGGACCCCAAGATGCAGAAGCAATTCTCTTGAAACACAGACCAGGGGGCTGGGGGCAGGGGGCAGGACCGAAATCCCCTCCGCACTCCAAAGAATACACACCGCGCCACTTCCCAGGGTTGACCATGAGCAGCAGGGTCCGGGGCTGTGACTGGGGCACCCACCTGGCCCAAGGTCCAACCTCGGTACTGCCTCTGATAACAGGCAATCAAGGCGAAAGCTTTCATTTTTTTAGAGTAAGAAACTGCTGGTGTTATTAACCAAGTCCTGATGTGAAAGAGAACATTCATTACTTATTATAAATGTGGACACCGGGAAGGGGCATGACCCAAGTTCTTCTTCTCCATTACAGACTGTCTTGCCATAATAGGACTCTCATTTACATTTCCCGAGGCTTCGGTTTGTCTTCATTTCTGATATCTGAAAAAAAAAAATCACTTTAAAAGAAAATCAGTTCAGGTTGGGTCAAAGATAATTATATTGCTTTCCAAGATGTCATGGATTCATGCTTTTGTATTCTGTGAAATATTTGATCACAGCAACTTGTGTTTCTTTGTGATAGCAATTAAGTCCAAGTAGAAAGAATCTATAATTTTAGGCTTGAAATTAACTTAAATGGGTGAAAATATTTATTTTTACTTTGCTCTTTCTATGGACTCGCATAATGAATTAAATGCAGGGCTCTCTTTCTTGATTATTGCTTTAGAAAGAAATTGTCATGCCTCATTACTCATTTTCAAAAAGAGATGATAGTGTACTTTGTTATAGGATTTTTATGTATTGCTAATGTCTAGAAAACTCAGCAGATTAATTCTCTCTCTACAAAATGGAACTGATTGAGTGAATTGGATATCTATAAAAGCCCATCAAGTATGGCCTGAAAACTTTATAGACGAAGGCACACAGGGACCCAACAGGAAAAATATAAATCTAACACCAGGCATATAAAATTATACCCAGAAGTTTAAGATTGATCTAAGAACCATGGATTCAATAGGTAATTTTTAAATACTAAGTAGTATAAATTATTGTAGTTTAGGAAGTGGAAGACATGAAAAATAACTAAAAATGTGCTCTGAGATTTATAAGAAATGCCCAAATTAGAGCAGCTAAATTATTTATAGTGATTTAAAAGCCAGGTACTGGTAAAGTTTCAAGTGTAAGTTTTAAAGGGTCTCTCACAAAATATGGCATCAGTGGTTGTAGGGCAAGATCTAAACCTCAGGACACTGCAGTAGAAGAACATTGGACTCGAAGGCCAGAGACGTTGGTTCCAGCATCTCCTCAGGGCACAGGCTAGGGGGTCCCCCAGTTTTCCTTTGCCCAGCATGCGTTTCTGACCCTTCCTCCTTGGAAAGAGACCACTCCGTGGGGTTCAAGTAAGGCAAACTGTCACCTACTTACGTAAGGGGCTGGCTGTCCCATGTCCAGCCCCCCAGACCCAATCCCCCCCCTTCTCCATGCAGCTCAGGGCCTTGGGAGACCAACCAGTCTTGGCCTGTGTCAACAGCACCCTGCTCCTCGGGCTGCCAGTTGACCTGCCCCGAGGAGAGTCACCAGCGGGAGAAAACAGACCAGAGAAAAGGGAGGTTGGGAACTAACCCCTCAGCCCCTTTCCCATCGGGTGCCCAGAGCCCCAGGCCACAGATCCTGTCCAAAACTGCTCCCAGGTCCTGGTAACTGCCCCTTCTTCCCCTTCAGGCATGGGACGGTGACCGCGGCCTGGGGAACTCCATTATCCCTCCTGGTTTCCCTAAATCTTCTCCTATATATACCTTTGCCAACAGTCCATTTATTACATTCTTCTCCATTTGCCCGTATTCAATGTCATCGATTTCCTGTGGGGACCCTGGCTAACGTCTGTCATCCTCTGCTTCCAGCTCCACCCGTGGTCCGGGTCCTGGCAGTTCTAGACTGAGATCATCTAAATAGCTGACACTCCCAGTAAAAAGAGAGAACCTCTGTCCTGTTGCTGTCAGCAAGCAAGGCTTAGCTCTGCATCTGGAAGGGACGCTCTGGCAAGAGAGGGAAGGGTGACTAGGAGGAAGGCAAAACTGAAGGCAGAGAGACATTTTTCTCGCCTGCTTTGTGCCAAACACTGCGCTAGGTCCTGGGGGTGCAAGTGTGATCAGAAACAGCGGCATCTACGGTTTAAAGAACGCAATGAATCTGAAGTGTTATATTATCACCTTGAACTGAACTGGACTTTATTTGGGACCTTATTGTCCTTTTCAAAGTCACTCCAGATTTAAATACCCAATGCACAAGTTTCTAGTTTATTTTCCTGAAGTAACGTTTAGATAGACCAAAGTAATCCAGTTCTGGTGGTTACAGTTCATCTGACTATTTCAATCATTGCAGGCATTGTGCATTGTCTAGTCTAATTTTCAAGACAGCAGGAGAAGGAAGTTTCTGTTATCATCCTAATTTTACAGAGGAGAATATCAAGGCTTAAAGATCACACAGTCCAAAAGTGGTATGGCTGTGATTCAAACTCAGGTAGCTCTGACCCCTATACCCTTCAGCATAACCTGTACCCGATATTCCCTTTTGCAATAATTAATCTAATCAGATCTAATCTTCCAATCACTAAAAAAGCTCCAACAAAAATCAACTACGCCAAAGAATGGTGTGTAGGAACCTGGAAGACCCCCATAGCATTTATATCTCAGAAAACTATCAAAATTTACATTCATGCATATTTTGATATTAACACATCAGCAAACCAAACTGCTATTCATACCGTTCCAGGCATATTGTCCCAAATATCTCAATAAAGCATTGTTAGTATCGAGTCCGAGCAGGTCTGGAAGAGTCTAACCTATTTTTAATTGCACCCAGAGCCATGCGGAGACAGCTGGAGGCTCTCCAGTTCAATAGCGTGTTAGCTCTGGGCATTCAGCAGGCATGGCATCATCATCAGTTATAACTGAGCTGCGACACACTTTTTAATGAAGTGCTCTAATGTCCTCTTCACCGTTTGCACTTCCCATCAAACCGTGCTATTGTAATGTGCAACGCACTCAAGGTTTGAGGAAGATGTGTGCATTTAGCTCCACGTAGAGCCAGGTTTCCTGCGCCTGCTTCTCATCAGACAGGATAGGGACTTCCTGTCTTATCTCTAGAAACTGAGGGATGACACGTGCGTTGTTATAACTCCCACTTTGCCCAGCGTGCCTCACTGTGAGGGCCGGTGATTTTGAGGTAAGTCCCTGAGACAGCGGAGCAGCTGGGTCTAGTTAGGAAGGAGAAAAAGATGTCTCGCACACCTGTCTTAGAACAAGTGGGGGACTGCAAGGGCACCAGCGTACAAGAGGTGTCACAGCCTCACACAGCTGCTCGCCATCGCCACTGGCCGTGCTGGAACGTTGTGGGTGCCAGGGAGGCAGGAAACAGGACATCAGAACAAAAGGAAAAAAAATTGATCATCTGGGCTGCATTGGTAGGTCAGCAAGTGAACGGAAGTGGTGGGAAGGGGAGTGTCCCAAGCCCCGCAGGCCACAGACCCAAGACGGGGTGTTCTGAGAACACGTGTGAGCTGCCAGCGTCTAGGAGACCAACCCTTCGGGGAATTCATCTGGTTCAAAAACCTCCAGTTCCCCAGGCCGGGCTGACCTAGATCTGCAGGCAAATAAACCTGCTGAAGTGAGGAGTTTGGGATGCTTCAAATGTGACCTTCCACTGAGATTATTTCACAGTTGCTGCCTCCTTCCTGTGTTACTGCGGTCCCAGGGCCCCGTCAACCCTCTCCCCTCTCTCCCTCACCACCTTATTAGATTATTCACACCGCCTGTGTGCAATGGCCTAATTAGCTGGGCAGCTATTCAGTACTTTACTTCTCTATATGCCAAATGCACACAGCCTACAACCAATTTTTAACCCGAGATGAAAGAAGTTTTCATTGTGATCCACCTGAAATAACTAGCAAAGGTTTACCAGTTACCGTGTAATGGGAAGCCAGCACCAGCAGAGGCTGATTGTGGCTTATAAAAGAAAAACAATGAATTTATTTTTAAAAATTATTTTTTTAAATGAAATCAAAACACTGCTTGAGACCATCAAAACCAAGCTGCGATGGTTAATTTGATGTGTCCACGTGACTGGTCATGGGGTGCCCCAGATGAAACATTATTTCTGGACAGGTCTGTTTCCAGGTGAGATTAGCATTCAAATTGATGGACTCGATAAAAGGAAATTGCCTCCCCCAGTGTAGGTGGGCACCCAGCCCATGGAGGGCCTCAGCGAACAAGGCAGAGGAAGGAGGGATTTGCCTTTTTTTCCTGCCTCACTGTGGAACTCGATACCTCATCTTATCTCCTTCTCCTGCCCTCAGGCTAGGATTTATACCACAGCCTCTTGCGTCTCCAGCTTTCAGACAACAGATCATGGGGCTTCTCAATCTTCGTGATCTTGTGAGCCAATCCTTATAATAAATACAGACACCCCTGACTGGTGTGGCTCAGTGGGTTGGGCGTCAGTCTGCAAAGCAAGGGATCACTGGTTCAATCCCTGGTCAGGGCACATGCCTAGGTTACAGGTTCGGTTCCTAGTCAAGGAGACATGGAAAAGGCAACCAACTGAGTTTCTTTCTTACATCGATGTTTCTCACTCTCTCTTTCTCCCTCCCTTCCCCCTTTTTAAAAATAAATAAATAAAATCTTAAAAAAGACAAAATAAATGCAGACCTATATCCCATTGATTCTGCTTCTCTGAAGAACCCTGACTAATACAGAAGTCAAAGTTTTGCTCATTTTAATTTTCATTCAATTTTCATTTTTTTACTCAAGTTATCACCAAAGCCATGTCTATGGTATCATATCCTAGGATTTTTATGGGAATTTTTAAGACCAATAAATAATTGCCATCACTGGTACATAAATGGGAATAAAAATGAAACAGGTCCTGCCTAGTACAGTCTTCAGAATTTCCCATAAGGCCGCTCTGTCATTGCTGCCAAG